AGCAATTTTGTGTAAATGATTATTTACAAATAAGCAATTTTGTGTAAATGATTATTTATAAATAAACAATTTTGTGAAAATGATTATTTGTAAATAAGCAATTTTGTAAAATTGATTATTTATAAATAAACAATTTTGTGAACATGATTATATACAAATAAGCAATTTTGTGAAAATGATTATATACATATAATCAATTTTGTGAAAATGATTATTTACAAACAATCAATTCACATTAGAATACTTATTTGTAAATAATCTTTTATACCATGAGATTCTTTACAAACCATGAAAAAAACAACATGAAAATTTCACAAATAATTTTTTTACATCCGGCGCCTCATATTTATAGGCATTTATACTCGAAATAAACAAGAAATACATGATTTGAAATGCATATTAGTAGCGTGGTGCGCATTTGGTCGAAGAATAAAACAAAAATTACCAATGTTTTCCTTCTTTTCCACTTAATGCAAATACTTGATGTAACATATAATCTATATAATCTGGTTTACTTTTAGTTAGTATCATGTTTTGTGATGCGCATTTGATTATATATTAAAACATGTTAATTTGCGCAATATAAATATTAAATATTATTATTATTATTTTAAACAGGTTTCATAACCTCCTTTTATTTTAAAACCATTCGCAGATATCTTATGAATAACAAATTAAATTATAATTTTCAAATTTTCAAGTAGTTTTGCTGTTTTGTTTTAAAATACATTCGTTTGTTTTTACGTAATGGACCGCCTCCATTAAGGGAAAATAATGGGAAAAAAGTGCTTCTCAGCCAATCACAGTCCGCCATTTTACCGGAAGTGATGCTTGCCGTATAATAATAATTCATAAGCTTATTGGCAAATCATGTCAACCATAATATGTCACGTGCAGTGGCTTTAAACCTGATAAAACACTACTAATTAGTATTCTTTATTGCCCTCGCAGGGTTTTGGCCCCAGAGGGCCAAAACCCAAGGAGGCATATATTGAAGTCCCATTGTCATTGAAGTTATCATATATATGATATCAATCTATATACGGTGTATACCAGAGGCAGAGAAATTTAAGTTTTTAAGTTTTTTGCCCGCAAAGCATTGGTGGGTAATATCGCAAAACAATGGGGGGTAATAGATAGTAACTGCTTCAGGTATCGTGACGGGGTATATATAAGTAGATCATGCAGTAGATGTACACGAGGATGGGTCTCTTTACTCTCTTCCAAGTCTTCTCTGGATCGTGGATCACACTGAGGCAGTGAAAAGTTAAAAATGTGAGTGAAACAGTAGCGAATTGTAGCTTATTGTAAACACAGGTTTAAAGTTAATCACAAGTTTAAAAGCTGAGGGTTCAAATTTTATTATATAAAAGGCATGTGAATTATTGGCGTAATGCCGTAGCTGCGCAAGTTTAAAAGGTCAGGGTTCAAAGGTTGCGTTGCTTTCTGTAAGAATTATTATTCGCTTGGGTCAACACTTTGTCAAACGGCATAATTTGTTGTTGTTGAAGGAGTCAAAAACAGTAACACAAGATTTAAACTCCGTATATCAAGTATCAACTACGATTTGTCAGACACAAATCAAAATACAAACCAAAAACAAATACAAATATAAAAAATCGAGCAAAGCTTAACGAATATAAAAACTATAGTTTTATAGAACAAGATACGCAACGATCACATTATAAAACGTTTGTAGCAGGAACTCATGTTACATGTGGTTATAGTTCGTCCAATCCTTCTATAAGCGTTTTGAAAGAAAGGTTATGTCATGACATAACATTTTCTCGTATTAATGTTTGTAAACCATAAAGGTCGAAACACACTGGACGCGCTTCGACAACGCGGCGCGATTTTTCAGTTTTTGAAAGTTAATAAAACAATCAATGAAAGGAAATTTTAAAAGATATGTAGACCAAGTGACTCAAAATGTTATAGCGCTTCTGAATATTTGAAAAACTTAAACCAGGATCAAAGTTATCGGTCAGTGAAAATCGAAAAATCGCACCGCGTTGTCGAATCGCTAGACTTTCTCAAAGTCCTTCGTCTTTGTTTTAAAAGAACGAAGAACAAGTCTATCGAATCGCGTCCTGTGTGTCTGGGCCTTTTAAGGCATGATCATTTTCAATAACAGTACACCGTAATCAGCCGGGGGCAGTTTTAGTGTAAACTACTCCCAGTATAACGAATGCAAACTAGGGTACCTGCAAGGTAGGGATTGCTGCGGGCATTAAAAACAAATAGAACTACAGTAAATAGCGCACATTTATTATATATATGATCAAACACAGTTATTACTCGCAGCAACTAATCAAGGGTTAAAGGGCAATCACAGGTGACAGATATTAAACATGTGCGTCTCATTGACATACAGGTAAATTAATTATATAACATAAGTTTTTGCTATCAGATTTCATAACAAGTCTGTTTACTGCTAAGGCGCATTTACCACATTATATAGACTATATATACACAGATGCATTACACCATAAAAATATAGAACTGTCAGTGGCCAAAGTCCATTGAGTGAACAACGCACGAATCAATGCAAAAATAACGAAAATTAGAATTATTATAATTTGTGCTAAGCCGGACTGCCGAAGCGAAGGCCTTTCAATGCTTCCACATATTCATGAAACATCACTTGATGCAAAATATGTCCACTTTTGAAGACCCGCTAGAAATATTGGTGGCTACGTGGCTACGTAGTGAGTTTTAATTACGCATGTGTAGTGAGGTGACACGGATTTATGAAAACTGTGCATACAAATGCGCACGACCACAATTCCATGCGACGCTAAAAATCTACTTTTTTACTGCCTACCGCACAAATTAGGCTGCTGCTTCGCTCGCTCGCTTCAGGCTCGCTCGCTCCGCAGCAATAAGGCAGTATATCTACTGAATTTGTGGTCGTGTTTGAAGCCGTTTAATAAACTCGCAGGTCGTGTTTTGAAACCTGAAAAATATAAACAGAACTTCGACGTTTTGAGCAAAGGCGCTTCGTCGGGAAGTTCGTAGCCAAGGATCTTTGCTCGAAACGTCGAAGTTCTGTTTATATTTTCCAGGTACTTGTATCTCACACGCAACTGTTTATGATAAGCCACGCCTATATTTGGTTAGTGTGTGATATCTTCATAACTTTAACATTATGTATTGCTTCCATTTGTAAATATAGATTACTATATATTGTGAACGGCTCCTTGGAAATCAATAACCTAGGCGTGTTGAAGGATAACCGTTGTAAAATAAGATTTTTAATAATAATAATAATAATAATAATAATAATAATGAATATGATAAAAATCGGGATGCTTGACCTCCCCCGCCCGGCACTCAAAACGTCTAAGCTACGGCACTGTATGTACGTGTACGCATGGTATGATGAAATACAATTAATACTTATGAATGGTAAAATATTTTCCCATATTTCTTCGCACAATTAGGTTTAAATGATTACGATTTTGACGTGTGGAGTTTATTGAAAATTACAAATGAGAAAACCAATGAAAAAACGTATAGTGCAATGATCCACGGAATTCTTAATATCACGTGATCATAATTATCAGCCAATTACATGACGGCAATTAAATATGGTGTTATAATGTATGGTACAGGTAATAGGTATAATATATTTTATTTTTTTACTTTTATTTTTATAGATTTTGCCATTGAACACAATATACTGTAATACATAAAATTAATTACAAAATAAGCTACATGCGTTATATATAGTGATTCAATATATTACTGCATATGGCTTATAGCTTTTTTCTTAGAAAATAAGAGCCTGGGAACAAGATTATTTACTTACCTCCAGCACAAGATCGGGAACAAGCAGACCAATCAGAAACTATCCATTCAACGTCAATCTCTGTAGGGGTAACAACTCCAGTTGGAGCATAGTAAGAGATATCCACTCCTTGATTGCGCTCATAAAGATAGATGAACTGAAAACAGGAAGAATTTATTACTCACCATATACCGGGTGTCCCCCAAAAAACTTGCGCTGTTTGATTTAACGTAACATACAAATTATAAAAGCTATTGCACTCAAATAAGTTATATTGTATTCAGAAAGGACTAACTTAGATTTTGATATATAACTTTTGAATATCCGTGCAATATTTACTGAGCTGTCGATGTTTTAAATCGAATAAGCATATTTGACAATGTTAAAAATTTGCATAAAATTGCCTGTCAAATATTATTTGGTTAATTAAAGTTGATTATATAGTTTTTAATATTGTGGCCAAAAGAACGAATGAAAAACATAATTGTTGGATAAACATTTATTCATTCATCATAGAAAGTATGTCCTTTTTCACGTATACAATGTCTTGCACGGGAAACCATATAAAACCCAAACTCTTTGATCTTTTGTTAATCGAGGCATATTCGAAAGGCGAACGACGACCAACTTTATAATACGAACTCTCAAAGGACGTCAAATATGCTTTCGAACATTTTTAAATGTTTCATGCTTATTTCGCTTCCCAAGAAACACGAAAGGTTAACTTATATTAGGACATTACCCGAAATGAAAGTTGAGTTGAAATGCTGAAATTGAAATTGTTAATTTTTGTGGAAAATGGCAATTTATTTTCATATAAATTTGTCGGCCATGTTTCTCGATTTTTTACTCATTTTTAAAGCGTGCGCCGCATTCAAACGTTTGTATCTCACGTAATATTACATGAAATTTTTAGTGCTGTATATCAAAATCTAAGTTAGCCTTTTCTCAATACAATAAAACTTATTTGAGTGTAATAGCTTTTATAGTTTTTACGTTACATGAAATCAAACACCGCAAGTTTTTTTTGGGACACCCGGTAAAATTAATGCTTATGGTCCGTTGCCACCATATATATGTATTAGAGAGCTTTAATTAGATTTTACTACGAGTACGACTACGAGATTCGTTATGTGGACATGCATTGCATTGCATTATAATAATAATAATAATAATAATAATAATAATAATAATAATAATAATAATAATAATAATAATAATAATTTATTCATTTAAATAGAGCGCACATAGTCTATGTAAAATACTCAAAGCGCTGTACATTGTGAAAAGCTAAAAAAAAATTCATCAAGTAGAAAACGGAATGAGTGTATCTACAACAACAATGATAAAATACGTGGTCTTAGACTATAAAAGGTTAAAAGCCTTACTAAAAAGGAATGTTTTCAAACATTTCTTGAAGACTGAAATGTTATCACAGTTCCTCACATTCAGAGGTAGGGAATTCCAAAATTGTGGAGCCGCATGCGCAAATGACAGAACACCTAAGGTCTCAGTACAGTTAGTTTTCGGGATGTGGAGCAGTCCTTGATCATCCGATCTTGCATTGTATGTACAGGGGCGTACATATTGATTTTGACGTCATCGGGGGTGTAATCACGAAATGAGACCGACCCACCACTGAAATGTGAATCCAGACCGACTCTTAGTGAGTTGGTGTGTTGCAATAAAATTTAGAACAGAGCATGGAAATTCATGGAATTTATTAGGAATTTTGCAAGAGTACGTCGTTTGCTGTGAGACATCGTATTTATTAAGTGTCCGCGCTTTGTCAGTTTTGACCACGGATTAGCGATTTCGTCAAGATCGATCGTGTCTGTTAGATCGCGCTCACACGCAAGAGTCAAGAGTTCACCGAGACGTTCCCGGTTCATTACTGAACGCATAACAGTTTTCAATAATTTCAGCTTTGAAAACTGTCAGGAACTGTCATGCAGGCGCGTAACTAGGATTTTTGGTTGACCAAGACACTTCTGGGGTGGGGGGAGGTCTGGGGGCATGCTCCCCCAGAAAAGTTTTGATTTTCTAAGGCTGCACTCCTAGGAGCAGTTCAAACGAAAAATCAAGTTCATAAACAGTGACACAATCGGATTATAATTTTATACTGTAGTAGTTGCCCCGAATCCGTGTCCCAATTCTTGGTCGAACATGATCAGATGCATAATAAAAAAGTGTTTGTGCCCAATTGTTGTAATATTTGGGGCGCTGGCCTGCACTTTTGTTATTGGGCCAGGCTCCCACTTCTTACGTCACTGTAGGGCAAGAATTCTTCTTCACATGGAGAGAACTACAGTTTGTCATTGAACTTGAGTTTTCCTATTTTAAATTTTTTCACGAACATTCTTACCGAGTCACCGACTCGATTGACTCATACCTAGTTACCAGCCTGACTGTAAGCAACCATTGGAAATATCGCCTAGTCAGTGGAAACAATGTTTCGCTCCGTGTTTACAGATAAACCAGGGCGTCGTTCACTGATCGAATTTCTTGATTGCAGTAGGCATATAAAACTCTTTGGTCGGCAAAAGGCATATGAGGCTGAGTATGATTTGGGGGTTTGAAATTTTCGCTAATATAGAATATCACCCGTGAATGACCTTGCGGAACCTAAATTCCAAATAAAAGTGCAAATCGTGACATATAGATATAAGTAAATGGAAACTTCATCCCTTGGCGCGGGTTTTGACTGATAACATTTCTTCATATTATTTCTGAGCTGCTTGATTCCGTTTGAGCAAATTTTCAACTCAAAAGTTTGAGTCTGATACGTCTCAGAGTTTCGAAAACTAGTATTAAATATTTAGTTTGCATCGCAAAGCACCACGTGTAAACAAACGCATAATTTTGAGACCGACTGCACTTAGTGTGAGACCGACTGGATCATTTACGCCCCTGTGTATGTATACTATTTACAACATGAGCGGCCGTGTTGTATCTGATACACATACTCGAGGTGAAGGCGAGAAACACAAAAGAAATCATTACCGTGAAGGAGGTATACAAAATCATGCTGATTTACTTAAATTTTAAGTCCAATTTTCTCACCAAATATCATTCATTTATTTTAAATTTTTAGAATACGAATATTCTCACAAGTTATTTACAACATTCGCGTCTGTGTTGTGTCGCTCATGCCATGTATAGTACATATATAAGTACAACAATTACGTACCACAAGATTAAGCTCATATTGTGTAGGTCCAGGTATATATATTCTGTCTGGATATCTATTATCCTCGTGGATATATGTGATTGTAGTGCCAGCTGCTTCAATGGTTTTACTCCAAGTATGGTGGAGAATCAAGTACTCTCCTTCAGTTGTTTGAATTCCTACAACGATAAAAGAGGTTAGATTTAGTATTGGACAAACACAGACACATGCACCGGACTAGACACAGACACACCGGACTCATGACATGCCGGTATAGACGTACGAACAGATAGATAAAGCATATGGGCCATCATAGTAATGTCATAGTAAATTATTATTATTATCCATTATTATTATTAAAACGTCTACCGAAACTATATTTTTTGTATACTCATATACATTGTACTTCAAAAATAACGTTATTGGTGCGTTTTTGTGCTACTCGATTACCTCGCATATAAGCGCATCCCGGATATATAGACGCGTACCCCTTAAATTTTCAAACTTCGAGTTAGACATTCTGTAAACGATTGAAAATTGTCTGTCAAGTGTCAATACATAAATGTTAGTATTAGTTATATATACTAAATGTTTAAACATTGGTCCAACATCATCCAACATTTATATTATATATCGGGTTTGGCTTTATTTAGAATTTTCATGTTGGACTCCTTTGAATGGAGCTTAACGAGTAACGACGACAAGTGAATTGCCTTATTTCTCTATATTGGCATGAAACCTCAACTCCATTGTTTTTTCCTATTTTGATGAGCGGGGGGCGGGGGAGTTATCACTTCAGTAATTCTCTTGTCCCTCGACCTACATCCTACTATAGCTTATAGTGAGGAAGGGGATGGCCTACCTGCATGCTAAAATCATGATTCACCTTTAGTGGCATGCACTTAAAATAGGCTATGAAGTACTGTCACTTTTTAGAGATCATGCAGTAAACGATTCTTAGAATGTACAATTTTAGTATACCTATCAGATTGTAACCAGCGGCCTTTTGCACTGCAACCACGTTTGTAGAATGTACTGGTAACGTCACCATTACATCTGCCTTATCATACCCTATAAAACAAAAACTAATTAAAGTAATTCTCAATAAATTTCTCTCTTTTTGTTCTTTTACTCTTTCGTCTTTCTATTTCTAATTTAAATTTCAAAACTGTTCTGTTTCAGCACAATACTGCAATTGCCAGATTTAAACTACAAGAATAACTCTTTTAAGTATGCATACAGTACAGACGGATTTCTCGAAGTTGAAGGGGTTGGTAAATTTTATCATTTCTTTAGACCCAACCATGCATGCATGCATACTATAAGTATAGGTGCGAAAAATCAACTATAGACCCTCTGGCAGGAATGGTACCTACTGTATGGCTACGGCCCAATGATTCCGGTCCAGCGCTCTATCCATGCAACTTAGCTACGGGGTTCGATTACTGCCAGAGGGCCATATCCGCCCAAACAATTAACTTCCATGAAGCATTCCTAAGATCAGACAAATACAAGCGAACATATTCTTGTTGCACTAGCTCAGGGTTAGCATACAATGGAGGTTTACCCCAAGAAACATGTTTGGGTCCTCTTCTATTTGCTATCTTGGTTAACCCATTATTAAAAGATTGGAATGGTCGCCTAAGATTTGTCGATGATACAACAGCATTGGAAGTAGGTGCTCTCCTAGTGTATTGCCTTTAGTTGTCGAAGAAATCTCCAAATTCTCATCCGCTCGTGGAATGGAGGTTAATCCCAAAAATGTAAAGAAATTATTATAAATTTTCTTCAATACCGAATTCCATGTGATCAATCTATGTTCATTAATGGACAATGCGTTGAAAGAGTACACAGCTTTAAGCTTAATTGGATGTCTTTGCCCTCCGATTTTTGAAGAAAGCCTGGGTCTCACTGATCTTATAATCATCTACTGCTGAGTTATTCGCTCATTACTCGAGTATACATCCCCAGTATGGGCAGCTCTTCCTGATTACCTATCTTCTCATCTCGAGTCGGTCCAAAAAAGAGCACTTAAGATTATATACCCTGACATATCTTATTATGAAGCATTGCAGACCTCAAAGCTCAAAACCTTGGAATGTCGAAGAGATGAGTTATGTCAGAGATTTATCAACTCTATACCCAGAGGAAAGCATGTAATAACAATCCAGTGTATAATATAATCCGACCCTCCCGGTCCTTTAACGAACATGATTATTTTTTACGTAGATCAAATAGTAGTGGAACTGTGAGAACCTTTACTGAACGTTTCGATAACTTTATTACCATTAAATATACGTAATTGACCTAGTTTGGTCCTCTACATGTTGTAATTATGTAAATATAATTTTATATATGTTAAAATGTCAATATGTAAATTAATAAACAGATATTATGTTGTGGTTACTATATATTTTAGCGAGATATATCGAAAATTTATTTTATTATATCCTTATCGATGAATATACTCCAGAGCACACTATAATGATAACAACTGAGATACTTCTACGTTTTTTTTAGTTTTAGTTTTAACAGCTTTATTGAGCGATGTTCAAACGGCAAGATTGTAAACGGGACTCAAGACCCATACGAGGCACTCTCCCTCTTGAATTTTGTTTACTTATATCATTATTTACGACAATATTATATAAATTGGTAAACATATAGCAGCTGATTAATATCTCAAATAAGGACGCTATTGCACCACATTTAAATAATCATGCATAATACAGTATTTGTATAATCATGTTAAAAATTAGAAAGCTGAATCAGGATAAAACAAAACCTGACACGACGAGCTGGTATATATGTTTACATCAGAATTAACTATTTCTATGGCATGAACAGCTACGATACAAAGACCACGTACAGCACATGTCAACATCAAAACTATACTACTTAATAAATTGAAATATGTTCTTGATAAGAAGGATTTAAACGTTGCCAAACTGCGAAGATCTCCAGGAGAAGCAATTTTGCAAGTACTGTATGATTCCAGCTAGAGTGGAACAATACGGTTAAAGAACGATGACTGAAAAGTGATACTTTTACATGACGGTACTTTGAGCACTAGAGAAGGATTGTTACAATTACGGGTACGGCTATAATTAATTAACAAATGACACAAAATCAAAAACATCCAAATCATAAAAACCATGCAAAGTTTTAAACAACGTAAATGTCAAATCCTTAGTTTTCCTGTCAAACGCCAGTGGTAAAAGATTCAGAGCCTGGCAGGCCCTCAATTTTATGGGGGGACTGATTTGCAACGGGCAGGATTTTGGCGTGCACGGGGAAGGATTGAGGGCCAACAGGAAAGCCCACCTTTCATGACTACACGCCGTTCAGATTCTGAACGGTGAATATTACGATCACCTGATTGGTCAATACCAAGACAGTGAAAAACCGTAGTACAGTATTTGTTGATTTCAATATTGTTGCTTATCAACTTTCTAAACTTGATACTTATCAACTTTCTAATCTTAACAGCTTTGTAATCTTGAACTGTTGAACATCGTGGCTATTTTTTCTTGTTCAGCAGCGATACAAAAGATGATCTCACTGGCCAGTCGTCAGGAAATAACACAGGATACTGCAAACAATTAACGTACTATATAAAAGTAAGCTCAACATCGACGGTTTGAAAACGTGTGAAGGGCGTTTATCACTGGGTGGTCCAGCCACAAACAACAAGATTTCTAATTATTTGGACTGTCTTTTCGTTTGTAGGGTTTCGCGTCACAATATTCCTATTCGGATGAACTAAAAGCAGTTAAAGCACTTAATGATTTAAGTGACGAACGCCCTTCACACGTTTTCAAACCGTCGATGTTGAGCTTACTTAGTACATCGTCAGAATCAGTATTTACATCCACGTTGTCTGCAGTACCTGTGCTATTTCTTGATGACTGGCCAGTGAGATCAATTTTTTACGCGCAGATTTCGATTCAGTTCTACGTAGACATACTACCCGGAGAACATCGCGGAGAACAAACGCGATTTGATTCAGTTTGGTTGAATGGACTAGCGCCACGGTCAGCTGGTCAGGAGTTAACAGTTTACGCTTTCCTGATGTTTCTACATCTTTGGGCTGGTAATGGTGTTGAAACTTCTCGTGTAGTGCATTAACTGAAGATTTTAATTCCGTTACTTTTAGCATTTTTGTCACATATAATCTGAGAGCACAATTCCGAAAGATTGTTTTCTTTGTGATGGTTTTTGTGATGAAACTTGGACAATTTTACTAAAGTTGCCGAATTGCTGTTTAATTTAAAACAACATTTACAAAATCTGCAATACTGTATTAAAAACCGTCGGGAGTGTCATTGTCAGTTTAATTATTCGCAATATTGTTTGATTGGCATGTTTACGTGCAAGCGAACATATTTCTTTCGGGCCAGGGTTTTCCCCAATAGCAGCTGAATTTTTATTGGTCAATTTTAGAAAGCCATTAATTATGTTATGACTGGGGCGTGTAGTCATGAAAGGTGGCTTTCCTGCAGGCCCTCAATCCTCCCCCGTGCCCGCAAAATCCTGCCCGCTGCAAATCAGGCCCCCATAAAATTGAGGGCCTGCCACGCAGGCTATTGTAGGTCATGCCACCTTTCTTCGATTGAAGGATCCATCTTGTTGCACGCCTTTGGACTTGCTCCAGATTTAATTTGTTATTATATTGGGAGGGAGACCAGACCTCTGTATGGCATAGCATAATTGTGACTTGACGAGCGAAAGATACAGAGTGCGCAAGATCGTTAATGAAGAGTAAGAAAAGCATTGGACCCAAGATGCTTCCCTGTGTAACGCTAGAAGTGACATGGGACCATCACGAAGCAGCAGCCTCTACAACAACACGCTGGGTACGGTTATGTAGGTAGTCAGATAACTATCTGTCAAGGTTTACTGGGATACCGTAATCTTTCAGCTCTCTTAAGAGAATAACATGATCCACTGAGTCGAAGGCTTTAGCGAAGTCAAGAAATATAATGTCCGTCAAGCAATTTTCAAGTTTGTCAAGCAATTGTACAATACGATGTAACGTTGAAAGAAGCTGTGTAGCACAAGAACGATCATGAAGGAATCCATGCTGAGCTTCGTTAATCGAATCTCGGATATTTTCGTAGAAACGATTACAAACGCATCGCTCCAAGACTTTGCTGATGATAGATAGCAGTGAAATTGAACGGTGGTTGATAGCTAGTTCTTATCTTTTGTATGAATTGGTGAAACATCAGCTGAGTTCCATTCAGATGGAACAGTACCAGTATGCAATGAATGATTAAAGAGTGAGCTAAGACTTCGGGCAATGGGATAACTGTATTCCTTCAATACCCGAGCAGGAATACCATAGGGGCCTGTTGCCTTAGTTGGATCGAAGTGTGCAAGATGATGGGCAACTTCTTCTTCCGAGACAGTTTTATCTGACAATTTTTTCCACAGGCGACAGTAAGAGAGGTGAATCATCAGGGATAGATAAAGCTTTAATTAAGTGGTCGAAAAACGGAGCTAGAGTATAAATTAAAAAGTTCTGCTTTTTGTTTTGGGATCATCGCTGTCTCATTGTTGTGTAAGATGACAGGATTCAATGCTGAACGGTGGTGGAGTGCCGCTTTATGGTAATTCCAAAACAGTTTCGGATTTTCTTTAAATGAAACTTCATTTTGTCTAAATACTTTTTATGTTTCTTTCGAATAACATTCTTGACTTGCTGACACAATGTCCGGAGTTTAACCTTACGTTCAGGCGATATTTACGTAAGGCGGTGTACTTTTTTCGGATTAGATGGCGAACTTCTCCATCGATCCAGGGAGGAGAGTTGGTGTCCCTTACAACTTTGGTCGGAACGTATTAACTTGACACAACTGATGAAAATAAATCCTTCCAATGCTTCCAACAATCATTACTGTTGTCCAAAAGAGATGCATGAAGATCTGTTTGAGACAAGGCTTTACAAAGTTCGGGAAAGATAGCTCGGTTGCAATCATAGACTGTTCGCCGCACAGGTTTTGCTTTTCTGAACTTCGTGCGAATAAGGAATTCAATAGTATAGTGATCAGTCGGAAAGTTATGTTCATCACAGGAGAGAGTTAGTACGTCGGACAGGGTTTCGGTACGATTACAAAACAGCTTATTAAACAGCTTATTAAACAGCTTATTTCCAGCACGGTGGGTTGGACCTTCCACGAACTGATACAGAAAATTATTGCCGATAAGTTCACAAAGGTTTTCACCATTAGAGCATCCACCAGTGTTAATAGGAGTTGATGGGCTGTCTGACAAGGAGATAGAAGGAATATTAAAGTCACCAACTAGGATTATGCAACATGTCTCCGGGTTAGTTGCTATGGAGTTGTTTAAAAGACTGAGACCGGCATCAGGAGAGGAGTTGGGAGGACGGTAATACACATAAAGAATTGCTGGTTCATTGTTCGCTTTACTGATCGAGTTGAACTACAGCAAGTTCAATGCCATCTCTTTCGAAGTCACAACGCCGAGTAGCATGCCGCCAATTCTCCCCGTCCTGTCCCGACGAAAAATATTGAAACCTGTGAGTAGTTCTGCATCAAGGATTGTATTGTTTAACCAAGTTTCAATACAGACAAGGACGAACAGAAGAGACCGAAGCCTATTGGAGCTTTGGCTCAACTTTCGCCAGAGATGTGGCAATCTTAATAAGACCTAATTGACATAAAGCACGTAAAAGAATGCTATAAGGAAATTTTGGGCAAAGAAGCTAGCATAGGGTGTTATAGTACGAAGTAGAGCACTGTGGCATGAAAAGGGAGAAAAACCAACAAGATTCTTCATTGCGCAATTGGCATGGAGATTCTGCTTGTTCTACGAGAACTAGAACAAGATACTAATCATTTGCGAGCAGAAACGAAATGGTCAGGATATCGTTAGCAGAGCTAGTGAAACAGCATGCAATGGCCCATGATTTACAATGGCCCATGAGGAACAGTCCTTTAGATGGAGAGCGCTTCACTGGAGCCTGGCCCCCTGAAAAATGCAAAATGGAGGGAATCGGTGTGATCGAGTCATTAAATTTATAAAAACATCCGGTTATTCTTATTAAGCTACTACAATGTTCTTACCGTATCCCCGATGTGGTTTGGTGTAGTTGACAACATTTAATGCACATGAGCTGCCATCTCCTCCACAAACTTTACAACGATCGAAACGTCTTCCAGTACCAAGGCTGTAGTCACACCCTACTTCCTGCGCATACGAAACAGAAAAATCTTATGTTCCATACGAATCATGTTTACGTCTTTTATCACTTTTGTCATTGTGCATTGAATACAACTCCGTATTCAAGAATCTCTGGGTACCAGGTACAAAGACAAAGAGTAATAAAGATATGAACACCGCTTAATCTGCAGTGGTCAGGGTGTATACGAAGGGCCGTACTACCAAGCAGGGTTTGCATATGGGGACACGGTTGAGCGCGAATGAACCTTTTGGAATATTGTACGGACTGATTCAGTTAAAAGTAACGAAAGAAATCGTCAGAAACCAACAAAAATAGAAGCATACAGCGATGCCCATTACCTTGCAGTGGCCTTCAATACAAACACTTAAGTCTTCTTTTTTGTTAGAACATCTTGTTCCGTCTGTGGTTGTACCTAACCAGAAAATCTTGGAGCCTGATCTGCACACTAGTGAACAAGGATCTGCAACAGAATTTGTAAAATGTGCTGAAGTGAAAAGTGCTTACTCACACAACTTCCCATGCCAAAGGCCAATAATTACTTTCGTAGTTTTGCTTTTGAATTCAACTCGATGGACGTGCATTTCCTTACCTGAAGAAACAATATATTCTGAGTATTCTCCTTTTGCTGAGCATTGCATTTGACGGAAAGAAACTGAATTTTCTGGGCATTCCTGTATGAGGTAAAGTGGTGAAGTTATTCAACAATATCAACATGTGTTCATTTCGAAGGAAAGAATGCTACTTTTAAAATTTGTAGCATACAGTACCTGTGTGTTACATGTCTTGTAATTACCACGGAAACTCCCTTCACAATCTTCACCGCCATTTTGAGGACTATATAAATAATAATTATTGCCAAGTGGCAAGTGATCACCAAAAGTATTTTCCTTATTTTTCTTTTACTGACGCGCTGGTTGGGCTTACTTATACTGACGAGTGCAATTTGGAAACAAACATGTACGAGTGAGTTGTGCAAATGTTATGAAAACAGCACGAGTCCGAAGAATGAATTCCATTTCAGTATTTTGCATAAGAATTGATGTTTTTAGTATTACCGTATGAAAAAAATTGAAAACATTCATAAAATAAAGAACAACCTTTCCATAATGTAAAACCTTTTGTGTAAAAAGAATGCAAATTTAATAAGAACAAAACGTTTCTTTTTGCACAATTTTAAAAATGTCAAAAGTTGCTCCGAATTAATAATATTTCTGACACTGAAAATATAAAAAAATGGCACCAAACTATAGCTTGCGCACACAAATGGTTTAAAATATTTGAATTCGTTGGGTGGATGTTTGCACGCTGTTTTATGAACTATCAAATACTCACAATTTGATGTATCTTAAAATGGAATTTTCGATTGCATGAAGACTATTTTTAAAAACCACATTTTAGTATGGTATAAATTGTACTATCAAAGTACAACAGACAATTTGATTCATATAAGTCCACCACCCGAGCTCTGAAACTTGAATTTTTTGCCGTTTTAGCTTCTGGCAAAATGGAAAAAGTCCAGGTTTAGGTCGGACAGCGAATTTTAGAATAATTTTAATGTTAGAGAAATCAAAAGATACTGAAATACCCATATTCACATAAATTTTTCAATAATTTTGCAAAATTTTCAGTTAGTGGCCATTTTAGAATTGTCTACTTTTTTGTTACACCATGTATTATGTATAGTTAAATCTAACAATACAAACCTCGGATTATCACATGTTCGTAATTGATATGCTACACCAATATCACACTGCTTAGTACAGCCACTGTAATTAGACCAAGCTCCCCAATTCCCGTCAATAAGTGGAGAACCATCATCAACACATACACCTTTGATACACCACTAAATTATCAATCAATCCATATCAATCAATACCATGTACATACATTAATTGCAATTGTAGTTTGTGTTGCCAACATAGTGTGGAAACTGGAAATTAGAACACGTGAAAACATGTACAGTATATGTCAGGGTGAACAGTCACGGACAAAAAGTTGTGCCTCATGTGAAACTCCAATGTTTGCAATGAATGAGCAGTAATGGAACAGTGAGATTTTCAAAATAATGAAAAGACAATGGAATATTCTTGGGCCGTGACTGGATGTTACTATTGATGCTAAGGGTTATAGAAAAGGGTCCAGTGAAGGTTTTGACTAAGCTCTGCCAAAGTGCGGGGCTATTGTAGTTAAATGTGATGGGCTGATGAAATGCTCTTGGCAAACATGAAAGTTCCACATGAGCAAACAGAAATTCTATGTTCTTATCGGTATAATATTAAGCGTGCAATACTTTGAATGAAATTGTGACGAGATTATTTCCTCAATGAACACAAAACTGTGATTTTTGGCGAAAGGTTCGGACGACGCTCTTGAAGTACTTGAACCTAGAGTTTGTATATACACTATAGAGTAGATAAAATGCAAACGCTTGGATGAGCTCGAAAATCCAAACTTTGAGGTACTTTGGGTCCACACTAGACCAAACAGACTACCAAGAGGTGTGACTTGCGTCATTCTTGCTTGTGTTTATCATCCTCCATCTTCAAACGACCATGAAATTCTCGAGTATCTTTTCGAATCCTTAACGAAGATCGAAGGTCTACATCCTGGTTGTGCTACTATCATCGCGGGTGATTTCAATAAGATGGATATCAAGATCTTGAAGCGCAATTTTCAACTAAAGCAACTGGTTCGCAGTCCAACACGTGGATCGAACATATTGGACTTAGTACTTACTAATCTGCATAAATTTTATGATCCCACATCAGTTGAAATTCTCCCCCCCCCCCCTTCGGGCTGTCAGATCACAACATAATTACCATCTGCCCGAAGCAGAGAGCGCAAGATCTTCCCAGTCGACGAACTGTCCTAAAAAGAGACACTCGACCGTCTCGTAAAATGGAGCTTGGCCGTTATTTTAGTGAAATAGATCGGAGTTCGTTTGAGGATCTAGACACTTGTGATGAAAAATGTAAATTATTTTCTGACATCTCCACCGGGATCAACTTTATTATGCCGGAACGGAAAGTTAAATTTCACACTAATGATGCACCATGGGTTACTGAAGATTTTAAACGATTGATAATGTTGCGCCAACGCGCCTTTTCGTCCGGAAACTTACAGTTGTTTAAATTGTACCGCAATAAAGTGAATAGAGAGAGGAAACTGTTACGAGCAAAATTCTTTGCTGCGAAGGTCAGTAACTTAAAAAAATCAACACCCAAGACATGGTGGTCTGACGTCAAACGTATCAGCGGAATGAAAAACTGCAATAGCGATCTTCAATCGCAACTTCAAATAGAAAATATTGATCACCTATCGTCGAAAGAACTTGCCAATTTAATTAACAGCGCCTTTCTGGAACCTATGAGCACATACCACCCCTTGCGCGATGAAGATCTATCCAATTAACTTACATCAAGACATTCCCACCGACCCTCCATCTGTATAGTTAAAACGGTAACTTCTCCGGCGTCAGTGTTAACAAAGCTGAAGAACCTGAACGCGTCCAAAGCACCATGACCTGATGGTATTCCAAACTGAATTTTAAAAGCTTATGGGGAGATTCTAGCATCCCCGATATCCAACTTGTTGAATGCGTCTTACCAGGAAGAAAAACTTCCTATCGTCTGGAAAAGAGCAAACATCGCTCCTATCCCAAAAGAAAAACCTGTGCGTGAAATTAATAAACATCTTAGGCCAATTTCGCTCACTTCAGCAGCATCTAGATTCGCCGAGCATTTCATAGTCGAGAAATACGTCGCCCCAGCTGTTTTATCTATATAGCTGATCCAGCACAATTTGGGGGCATTCCGCGCTCATCGGCAACTCGCGCGCTAATCTCGATGGTGCACAAGTGGTCGGAGGCTACTGATGGAACTGGAAATGTTGTTACCGTAAAGCATTCGATCTCGTTGACCACCTCATTTTGGCCAGAAAAATTATCCTACTATCTGTTCCATCTGGATTTTAGACCTTTTATCAAACAGACTTCAACGGGTAAAACTATCGAATGACTGTTTTTCGGAGTGGGGCGGCGTACCCTCTGGTGTACCTCAGGGAACAAAACTAGGCCCTCATTCTTATGATTAATGATCTAAGAACTCCAAAGAGCGATTGTTGGAAATACATCGACGACACCACAATTTCCGAAGTTGCATGTAAGCAAAGGCAACACAAGCACGATGCAAAACTCCATGACTTCAAGACCAAGTGTAAAGAACTAAGGTTTTGTTTTACAAGATCTGATCACGCTTCGCTACATGAGAGTGCTGTAGTCTGCGGTAACCAACTTGAAGTTGTCACGCACGCTAGGATTCTTGGTCTGACTATTAGCAGCGATTTGAAGTGGAGTAAACATATTCTTAACACTATTAAGAAGGCGAACAAGTGGTTCTACTTCATTGTCCAACTGAAACGTGCAAAGGTTCCAACTGCAGATATTCTTAACTTTTACTTGCGCCAGTATTAGGCAAGTTTTGGAATATTGCTGCCAAGTGTACAGTATACCACTATGGGTTACCATGCTATCTTTCAAACGCCATTGAACGGGTGCAAAAACGTGTTATATGTCTATCATATATCCTAATTTAAGTTATGACGATAGCTTAGCTCTTAGTGGCATTTCTAAACTTTGTAGTATAGACGCGAAGAAGCATGTATCAAACTTTTTAACGAAATAGTTAACATTCCTGATCACAAGTTGGCGTATCTCTTGCCCCCTAAACAGGAAACAAAGTATGACCTGAGGCAATCTCGTGTTTTTACGAACTATACTTTGAACACAAATACATTTTAAACACTTTTTTTCCTTCGTCGGTTAAAACCTTTAATATATAGTAGCTAACTGTATATAGATTTGAATTGAGTTGATAATGTCGTGTAAATATTCTTGAATAATTGTAGGATTTTATAGTCTATACTTTTATGTAATTTGCACGCAATTCAGCTCTGTAGCTGCAAAGTGTAACTTTTAATAAACTATTTTATTCTATAACTATTGTATTCTATTCTCCCTTGTACAAGTTGATACGTTTTAGAATTTAGGGTAAATTGACAAGAAGTGAACTGTTCGGGAAGTTATTAAATTTTCACGCCGCTATCCGCTTTGGTTCTAGCTCTACGGTGATGCAACGGAGTGGCTATAAAATGATTGCAAGTGCTTTCATCTACATTTGGTTTACATTACGAACCTGTAGTTCCATATACATTTTTAAGAAACCAGAAACTTAAGACCAATACAAGAAATCAACGTAACGATAAGTTTTTTAATCCATTTTTAGATAATCTTTTATAGACACTATATTACATATGTAGATAGCATATACATATATACTCTATAGGTTTTAATGTTGTTTAATATTTTGTATGTACATAACATATCCTGAGGGCCACAAGTTTATTAAAACTATTATGTGTTAGCCTTGTTAAATAAAGTTTAAATGAAATCAAATTAAATGACAATATTAGTAAAGATACGAGATACGTACATGTCGGACACCACAGCGAGTTCCATCCAACAACGGAGGAGCAAAATTAGTATAACAACGTGTGTAATCCTTTGTACAGTACAAAGAATCACATTGATTCTATAGAATGATATAAAAACCATATTTGAAATGTAATTTTATATTAATAATTCAATTAGAAATATATTATAGGCGTACGTAACAAATCTGGCAGAAAACGGAAAGCAACATAAAGAAAAATGTTTGATACTGAAATAATGTTTGATACTGAAATAATGAACAATTTTTATATTCTAGTATTATAGAGCTTTACCGAGTTTATTATAGGTTATGTCCCTTGTTATGACGGTATAATTGAAACAAAAACAACTAAGTGCTATATATTACTTGCCAAAAAAAGAATAAAACTAA